CAATCTTCAGTCTAACTGGGCTGAGGATCCACTGCAGATAGACTGCAGCCTGACTGTGGGTTGTCTGACGTTTGTTTACCGTTTGTCGATGAGGATGGTCAGCTGTTTGGCTGCGATTTGGCTACCGATAGACTGCCGATTGACTGACGATGACCTGCCGTTACACTGCGCTTTACCTACGAATTAACCGTCACCCTCGACAAGATTCAGACAACATTCAGGCTATTACTTTGCCTCGGGCAGTTCCCACGCCGTGATGCATTCCCTGGCGCGATTTTAAAGGGGTGAGGCAATTATTGCCCTACTGTCGGTCCTAGTAAGCCATCCGGCAGGCAGGCAGGCAATCTGCTGTACAAAACCCCTGTATGTAGGCACCCCACGGTGCTCGACGCCTGCGAGGCTCGGAGTAGGCCAACCCGCCGTACGCGCACGCACTCAAGGCAAGATGTTGCCTATCTACCAGGCGCTAAGAGAGCTGACATTAGCTGATCTCATGGCCATTTCGTCACGCAAGTAACGGGCGACGGGCCTACTCTCTAGGTGGTCAATAACTACATGATTCTGTCTTTTCCCTTAGAAAAATTTCGACTATGCTCTTTAAAATAAAGAACAGACGTTTGATTTTGTGAGGCAAAGTGACTTTCGTTTGTTTCTTGACAATGACTCCAACCATAGCGCTAACAATGGCGAGTTGCTGCGAGCAGGTGCAAGGCATTCTCGCAAAGGAGGGCGGGTGGGTACCTTTGAAAACATCTTACCGTTTTCATTCTATTTTTATTGTTTTTGCTGAGTTGAATAGGGGTCTTATAATCGTCGTGGCCAGCACACAATTCTCGTTCTTTGACGACCTGCTTGCTACATGCTAGACAGTCGCCGACACCGGCCGAACCTCATTCTTTACAGGGTGTGCGGCCGGTGCCGTCGGGGTATACTAGCCCGCATGCAGGCTTGCAGGCGTGTAGCCCATGCGCTCGGAGCCGTTAGGTGCTGTGGCTCGCGCCGATAGGCAAATCCGCCTGCACGCTTGCATACGGTCCACGACGGCGCTGTCCACCTCACGGGCGGAGGGAGTAGGCAAGCCTTGCCTTGTTGGTGGGTGCCGGTGGCGAGGACAACTCCCCCCACCCCCCTGGCACGCCCTCCTCCACGAGAGGAGTGGCCATCGTCTGAACAGAACATGGGCAACACATCACCCAGCAGTGCACCACAGTGCACGCCGGTGCATAGGCCGCTCCGTCTCGTCGGCCGGGCCACGACCGCCCTTATGATGGGGGCAACGGGCCGGCGGTCTCAGGGAAAGAAGACTGAGGGCTATGGGGGGTGGCGCGGGGGT